AAGCTTTTTTGGCTAATTAGAACAGTTTTGAGATTTTTATGACCCGTTTAATAGTTTCAGTAATAGTATGTGACTTATCAGCAAGTTGTGATTTGCTGGAAAGTTAAAAGTTCGTTTGACCTGTTTGTTAGTTCACGTGACAAAGTTTTTTTTTTCCTAATTATGTAATTACTAAGTGTTATGTGGAACAATTTTAAGTTGGGTCACACGTGATTTTGACCCCTTTTTGTGTGCCCCATTGTTGAACGGGATACTTTTAAAATTGACCCGATCAAACTTCTTATTTTTCACTTTGATTTTTCTACTATGTAATAATTTCACAATGGTACTTTGTATGGTAAAAGATAATGATGTCCTTAAGTTTTATTATATAATTGTAAAATATTATTTTATTTAAAAGACAATACTATCATTTTAGTTAACAAGTGAAAACCTAACACTTTTTACTTAAAATTTCAAAATCAGCTAACTTTTCTTGTCTATTTATTTCAACACAGATAAAAAATTTCTCATCTTCCATCTTCTTCAACTTCAAAATTTCAGAAATTTATCAAACGCTGAATGAGAAAAGACTTCTTATATCAATCATTTCAAATCGGTATGCATATTTACATATGTTTAATTTTGTTTTTTGTTAAATCGGTGTACATTTTTAATCAATAAATCTTATTTCGACATAGATTAATATGTAGATAAAAATTTTAATAGATATAGAATTTTTTTTAAAGCATGAATGAGAAAAAAAATTCATCTGCATAATAAATTCTTTCAGACCAACACAACATAGCCGGCAGTTACTATCGACTGGGCTAGGCCGAGTATTAATTTTTTTTATAAATTTCTGTTACCATTATAGTTGAGCCGAATTTCTAATTATTTTTTCTTTTATTTTAAAATTATGTTTTGTCATGCAAATATGGTTATAATCCCAGTTTGTTACTTTGGTGATTTCGAATTGGATGAAAAAATCGATGAGTATTGAAATGGCCTAGCGATATACGTGGTGCTATTTCAATTTCCATAATAGAGAGAGTACATCGTACGCGGGAATGTACCATGACTTACAAAATAAGCTGAATGTCGATCCCTCTCAGTGTGAACTGAGATTTTTATTCAATGAGCATTCATTCATTCCGATTCCACCTATGAAGGTTACTTCTGATGCTGAAATGAATTTTTTATTTGAATTGAACAAAATGCACATAACTCATCTTACGTTATTTTAGTGAGGAAAGAAGTCATCGAAGGTGAACACGAAGATTCGGATGGAGCGAATGACAATACCAATGATTTTTGGGACACAGTGGAGATAGTTCATGAGGATGATGTGGCTATTCTCGAGATAGTTGCTCCTTATCGTGATATCGCTGTTACGCACAAAATTTCGTCGATAGTTCACAACAAGAAGAATGAAATGAATTTACAAATGATGATTTGATTGTTTTATCCCGTTAGAGACACGAGCGAGGTGGGAGCTTAGGGGCTGGATCGAGTAGACCGTCCTCTAATTCCTTGCATGTGGTTCCCGATGATGAGACTTGCATGTCAAGCAACTATTCAAAACCAAAAAAAATTTACAGGAAACTGTATACTGGATGAGATTAAAATATAACTTTGAGTTCAAGGTAAAGAAATCAAACAAGTCATTGTTGACGATTGTATGCATCGATTACAGTTGTCTTTGGAGCTTGCAAGCAACTAAGATGGACACGAATGGGTTGTCTGTAGTTTGCAAATATATACGGTAACATATTTGCGAAGTGAAAATTCGTCAAAATGATTACAAGTAAGTTCGAGTATGGTTTATTAGTAGACAGATAATGCACAAGTATCAAAACTCACGAACGATCTACAGACATTCAAGCATCATTAACAACATCCATCGAGGTTACGGAGTGGTCATAAGCTACAAAAAAGCCTGGAAAGCCAAATAATGGGCGTTGGAGGACTTAAAAGGCTCGGGCAAGGAAAGCTATGCTAAATTTACAATATTTTATTTCTTAAAGAAACTTGTTTCTCTCTATCTAACCATATTGATAGCATAGCTATACTTAAACTAAATTTGAATTGTAACAACTGTTACAACAATGATATGATATATACATATCTAAAGTAATTTCTCACGAACACTCAGATGGTTTCTTGACCTCCCGGAGCTGGATTGAGTTCTCGAAGCAATGGTAGAAACCTAGTGTGGGAATTTCTCATACCAAATGTCTTGCTGTATATGTGTATCCCAATGCTCCCCGCTGCTGCTTTTGCCATACTTGTGAACCCACCCGGAACCATTATGACCCTTACCCCATGTTCGATTCCAACGGTCTCTGTGCTTATCTTCCCACCATTTCTCCCCTTGTTTTATCCCATGCCCATTGAGATCAAAGTGTTCGTCCCATTTATCACCCCATTTATCCCAGCCATCACCTTGGAAACGCTCGGCCCATTTATCTGTATTTTTAGTGCTGCCACCTTGCCCATCATACTTCTCACCCCACCTAGCAACAGTAATCAGTACACGAGTTACAAAGAAAGCGGTCAATGCTATAAATAATTTGAATCACTTTATCTAAAAGCTTAAACTTTTAAAGAGAGTCACATATATATAATTTAAATCTTGCCTTCAACAATTAACAACCATTAATTTATGTTGGCCCAGGTGCACATATAAATCGAGCAATGTTTTCCAAGTGATATGCACCGTGCACATATAAAATGCATTCGAGCACGTTCAGCTAAGCTTAACAAAATAAAAAGTTTTGCTCCTTAAGAAACTTTTTGTTTCCAACCAGTTTAAAATGCCACATTTCTTACTTTTGAGTAACAGAAGTTACTTATTTAGAAGGTAAACCTTACCTAATTTGTCCAATAAAATAACTATCTATTATAGAACGTGTTTCCTTATAAGTTTTTAACATTAAATAAGAATGCATGCTCAAAACACTTTTAGTACCGTTCATGCCAAACATGAGCACGACCATCCTCAGGGGAGTGTTAGGATCAATGCTGCACCACTTGTGAGCCCATTTATCCCCTTTTCCAGAGGCTCCATAATGCTCCCACCACTGCTCCTGCCACTCGTCCCCTTGCTTGTTCTTTCCCCACTTATCGGCTGTTTTCTCAAGATGAACAAGCCCCTCAATCTGCAAAATTGAGCAAATTAAGATTTAAATAATCTCAGCTTTTAGCTATATCTTGAATCAAACTCCATTATAAATGTTGAGTTTTTCATCTTGAGCATAGATTTCATGGCAACAGAAGAAAACTTCTCTCCAGACGGAAAATGGCTTACAAGTAGTGACAAATGAAGAACAGTGGATGTCAGAAAAATCAAGGAAGTTTTAAGAAGAAACAAGTTCACGAGTGCATTTTACCCTCACACCTCCCATGATAAATTGAAAAGATAAAAGTAGCATAGGTTTTATTGTCATTCTTATCTGAAGGAAGAAAAAGAAACAAACAAAAGACAAATTAATAATTTAAGGAAATAAATAATTTTGCCTCATCATTGACGTAGTGAAAGTAATTGTAGCCTTCCAAATGGTTCCCAGGTCAGATAAGTTTCAGTTCAATACCAAAATGGCTTGTTTCATGACATGGACTCTACACCTGACTAAGTTGAATAAATAAATAAAAGCTAAAGTTTTGTTCACTGTATTCTTCGGGCTTGTCCAATACCTGCACAAAATAACATGTACTCAGGGTTTAGTGTACTAGAGTAAGAGCAGCTGATGGTAAAAAAGCAGACATAATACTCTAGCTATCGATTAAAATTAAGAAATACTGCTGAAGTTCCTACGCGTTATGGAGGATGAATGATCTAACCAACCTTGAGAAAATGTAGGGCATAAAGCGAAATAATAAATAAAATTTAGTTTGGAGAGAGTTTTGTGAGAGGAGAAACAAAACTGAACCATAGAGAGATCGTTGATATTTCTAGCATTTCCTCCTTCTTTATTTGAAAGCATGCGGATCCCTCTCAAATTATGTAATTTCTTATACATTTTTCAACAGTGTTTTTACTTTTTCTTTTCCTTTTCTATGACATTGCATAAAAAGGGAAGAATATCATGTTCTTCTGACAAGACACCTGATCATTCACATACCTATTTAAATTGAATAATAAGTGTTAAGATAATGACTAACCTGAGACATTGATTCTCTCCAGTATTCACGCCAAACATTTCCCGCAGCCAACAGTTTTGTCAGCACTCACACCCCTAAGCAGTGTCCACTTGCAAACCACGCCATCAGGTCTTTGTTCAATTCCCATATCTTTCCACTACCTTGAACCGTCTGGATTAATTCCGTGGGTCATTACTTCATCCATTTTACTAAGAGCATGAGATGCTTCAGCTGAAAGTGCTGAAAATTCGACACCAATTTCACGTTCCTTGACAAGATGAGTTGCCTCCCCAGTCGAGCTAGTAATTTTCATTTCATCAACCTCCTCGAGTGACTGGAGAGGAGGAAGTAGAGGATTGTGTTTACAATGAAGCATTGTAGTCTCAAACGGGATCGACAGAAAATTGACATAGCGCTCCTTTTCAATTACCAAGCTGCTCTGCGACGGATCTGGAGAAGCTTTTCCAGCAGGCTTCATTGCACAATTCCCAAAGGAATTATCATCATCTGGAGGAGGTGTCCAGGCCCAGAAATTTGGACCTGGTGTTCCGATACCAGAGCTTCCTGAGGGAGACAGGAAAGAGCCGCCATTCTGGTTTTCTGCTCAAGTTCAAAAATTACAACAAAGCCATTGTAACACCAAGAAGAAGACAATGAGAGATTCACATAATTTGAATACCTGTACTGCTCCTTAATTTAATCTGCCAAATAATATAAACTTACTCGCATGTCTTTTAATACATACATATTATGGCAAGTTTGTAAGGGGGAATTCAATATTAGACGACAGTATTAAAAAGAAAAAAAGAAGTTAGAATATTGTTTACAACTGTGAAGTCCTCTCCAATACTATGCACCAAACATGTTCTTGTCTCACAATGGAATTGATGCTTCAACATAAAGAAATAGTACCAGAACTGAATATTCCCCCAATCTTAGAAATTAGCAGACTTTTCTTCGATGTTTCTCTCCAGTGTTTACTCATATGACTTCTCCAAATATACAGGTTGAGTTGCTGATTACACTTATCTAGACCATTAAATTAGGATATTTGTTAGTGATTTGAATGAGTTATAGTCTAATTTTGTGTTAATTATATTTGTTAGGTTGAAATCAATGCACATTGATAGATTTGGAAGAAAGGAACAAAAAACATGTGAAAAAAGGAATTCCAAAGTTTGGGGATCAAAGTGTAAATATCAAATAGTTGATTTGGACCACAAACGATTATTGAAGATCATATGACATCAATTGGATGCAATTGGAGGCCAAAGAAATGAAATAGAGTTAAAGCATTTTCACAAATTAATTTCCAGCCAAAGAAGTTCTGTTTCGGATTTTTAGTCTTAAATTGAGATCCATTTTTCGGATAGCAAACATTTCAATTGAAAAATTTGTGTTTCAAGAAGAAATGTAGCTCTTTCAGTAAGCTTTTTAATGCACTTTGAATCACCTCAATCGGAGTTCGAAAGAAAAAGTTATGACCAAATTACCAAAAGTTGTTAAGTGATGAGGCCTGCAACACAGCTAGCGCGCACATCACACTTTTTTCTCCAACCCGAGAACAAAATCATTGACCGGTGCGTGCGCAATGAACTATGTGGCTCGCGAGCACAGGCCAAAATTTTTGTGACGGGCTAGTTTCCTTATTTTGATAAAATTCTACATGGAAACAATATATTTACATCTTATATACTTAAACACGCCCAGAACATAAAGGACCTCCCTTGACCTAATTTTACATCATATTATACATATTTTGGAGGTGAAGAACGAGGCTAGATCATCAACATCAAAGGAATTGTAAAAGATTTTTGAAGATTATCCATCCAAAATCTAGATTTCATTCAAGAAAGATTTCTCAACTTTCTTCCATACTTCTTCGATCTAGGTGATGTTTTTTCATTATTTTTTGTATAATTTAATAATTAGGATGGTTGGCTAAGTTTTTCATTGTATTAGATGAATGATGAAGCCTATAGTTTATTTATTTTAATTCGAGATAATTAATTTAGCATTTTGTGATTTTTTTTTCATCGGTTTTACATTCCCATTGAACTATTTAATTGCTTGATCACCAATTAGATAGTAAATTACTTGTTATAGTGTAGGAATACTCACGATAAGTCTACAATGTGGTAAAATCAACACATGGACAATAGGTATTAGGTATAATATCTATGGCATGTGCAATTATGTACGATAAATCCTGTGAATCAATACACGTTTTTTATATGAATTCGAACTAAGAATAAGATCGCATTGCGTTAAAGATAGATTTAATTTATCTTGGGAAAAGAATATTGTATCAAAGTAGATTATCGATTGTCTTAAATGCATGAATTTACTAAATTATGAATTAAGAGTTGAATTAAATGGCAATAGGGAAATTCATGATTCCAATACAAACATTCACATATTAGTTAAGTATTTTATTTGCTTTATTAGTTTACGATTAGTATTGAATACATACAAACCACTATTTTGATTTTATTTTATTTCGAATTTAATAAAAGTTACTTAACTAGATATTAGAACTTATTCATTGTGTGAACGATACTTTTAACTCACAAATTTTATTAACTTGTACAACGATCACCGTACACTTGCGAATTTTCCATGAACAATTGCATTGAGTTTGTCTCTCATGGTTTTTCTCTTGTGCTTATCGAATAGTTAAAGTTGATACTTAATGGCTTGATTTATAGCTATCTCATTATCACTCAAAAATTCCCTCAAAAAATCACTTTGGCGTAGTCAAGGAAGCCCAAGCCCCAATCGAGACATTTTAATATTTGCGTAAGGAGTGACTTGAACTCCTGACGTCCCACACAAATACCACATTTTCCACCACTTTGACACTTCATCTAATTTGATTATTTCTTTCACATTTTATATTTATACCATAAATATATAACATTAACCAGACTCCCACAACTTGATTGCAACACTCATGCCACTAGCTATATATTAAGTATCAAATTCATCCAAGGCAACAGTAAAACTAAAGTATTAAGAACAACTTTGCCGGAGGTAAAAACACCAAATTTATGCACATTAAACCCTTCTACACTGTTTTCTGAGTTTCTAGTACATAATTGTGAAATGGAATTTTTGCAAGTTTCATATTGATGAGCTCGATGAAGCGACATTTACAGATAAGTACATGTTGATCAAAATTGAAACATTGATAGACAAGCAAGAAAATATTACTTATGACGTTAAATTCGAGCCAACAGTGGAACGTGTTTCTATCTCTAAGGTGACTAGCAAATATTATACTAAGGGAGGTTTCGAGCTCAAAGAGGATCGCATCAAAGCTGGGAAGACAATGGTCTTGGCAATTTACAAGGCTGTCAAGGCCTACCCGTTTAAAAGTCCTGACGCTTATTTCTAGATTTATTATTCTCAATATTTTTTCCCTGTCCTGGCGGTCTTTATTTCTTCTATTTCAAATGACTTGTTTTCAATCAACAGTTGCAAAAATTTAAAATAAATTAATGTGATCTTTTCTAATTCTAGCAGTGTGTAACTGATTTTATAACACCCCGACTTGCCAAATTATGAGATGGTGATCAAATCCAGTATACTAAAAATGGCCAAAGAGGATGAAGTTTGAGACGGAAATAGATTCAGAGTTTAGGTTTTACAAAATCCTCAGCTACAAATTACAATCACAAATTGGAACTTAATCAAAGAAAAAAAGTAGCATTATGTCCTAGAGAACAGTTAAAAATTCAGGTCTTCTCAAGTTAATTTTGCCAATGTGAAAAGAAAATTTTCATTTCCTGCACATGAACACTTAATTTGACATTGTTTCATACTTTCTCTTGCGCTTGTCAAGCGCAACACCAGACAAAAATGGTTTCTAAAAGGCTCTTATAAATAAAATAAATTCTTGTAATATATCTAGCACCTAGGGATGGCAAATTAGCTCACTAGTTCGAGCCTCCCGTGGTCCGACCGGCTCGGCTCCGTCGGCTCAAAATTTCAAAAAAAATATTAAAATACCTTCCTTAGGCAGCATGTCAGCTGCCTTCATGAAAAAAAAATTAAGTCGGCTTGAGTCGAGCCTCAATTTTTTAGACAAGCTTTTGCTCGGCTCGAGCCTCGATTTTCGACTCAGCTCGACTTGTTGACACCCTTACTAGCACCTACAATTTGAAAATTCTTGTGGTATTTCAAACCATCAATCCTTGTACACAAAAGTAAACAAGGCCAATTAGTACAAAGATAGCGCATAAAATAGATTATGTTGTATTAGAAAAATGAGGGGTGTCGATCCGGTCCTTCTTTCGACATTACAAAGCATCCTAGCAACACTAACAAGTTTAATAATCAGCTTATAGCAAATCCGTCAAGTACTCTCCACTTATTCATTACTCATTTCTATTTATTTATAATTAAAACTGTTGATCTTGCGAATTGGACCTTCCACGTAGCCAACCAATAGCCACTCCACGTAATCCTCTCTGCGCACAATAACGAACAGTCAGAAGCACACGGTCGGTGGTGGCGGCCGCATACACTCTGACGGTCAAGTCAGCGATCGGTGATCGGAGCAATGCTCGAATTGTGCAGGAGTGTGGAGAAGAATAAATATTTCTTGTATATGGAAGGCTAAGTCTAGTATCAATTTCATTACCTTTGTCTCTTGCCAAACTTTGGGTATTTATAGACAAAGAACACTATTGGATGTGGAACACATGTATGCATCTAACGACGTGAGACGTCTACTCGTAGGCATCAATCAACCGCGTCTAGAGTGGGTAGATTATTAAATTTTCTGAGTTAAGTTGACATAAAGTTGATGTCACATCAACTAGACCCATAGAGATGTCACATCCATAGAGGATCCGAACACAAATCTTTTGAAACTGGCGACTGAGGGATCTATTAAGGGAGCACCTCAGAGTGCCCAAGCGCTTCGGTTTCACGGGGCGCTTTGGTTGTTTTAGTAGATTCAGTTTGTGATAAGTGCGTTATAGTGTAAGTTGGAGTTCGGTCGAGTCGACATCACTTCGAAACCACTTCGTAGGGATATGTGGCACTTCGTAGAGAAGTGGAACTGATGTGCCGAAGTGGTTTGGTGAGGGACGTAACAATGATCCCCCCAAATTTAGGCATGAATATTCATATCATGGGTAGACTTATTTGTCCGATTATGTTAGGAAGGGAAGTTAGCCTTTGCCTCAGGCGTGTGTCATGATGCTGCATGCGGAAGGAGCTCATCTGTAGCCGCTGCATTGTCCCATAGGGACGAGGAATTGGAAGGGCTAATGCTTTGTAAAGCATGGAGACGCAGCCACCGGGGACACCGTATTAGGTGTGTCGAGACTATAAAGCTGGTCGAGGAGCCTATCTGTCACCGATGTGCTGACCCACAGGGTATGACGCGTTGGAAGATGACTAAAGCTTTATAAGCTTGGAGATGCATCGATCGAGGTGATGAACCACAAGGGACACCGCGTCAGGTGCGTCGTGACTATAAAGCTGATCGAGGAGCCTATCTGCACTGATGAGATGACCTACAGAGGACGATCTGTTGGAAGATGGCTAAAACTTTGTAAGTTTAGGAACGCAGTGATCGAGGCGATGACCCACAGGGGACAATGCGTCAAGTACATCGTGACTATAAAGCTGGTCAAGGAGCCTATCTACACTGATGCGCTGACTCACAGGGGACGACGCATTGGGAGATGGCTAAAACTTTGTAAGCTTGAGGACGCAGCGACCAAGGTGATGACTCACAGAGGACACCGCGTCAGGTGCGTCGAAGCACATTAAAAAAGCTAAGGAGTTTGATCTGAAATACCTTATTCTGACGTTAATCGATGTGACAGCTGTCGTGTATTTGCAATGCGTCAGTTGGGTGTGATGTCCATTCCCAGAAAAGGCTGCTGCAGCTAATTATTGTAGACGGGTGTTGTAATTCGAGGTGACGCGTTTAGGGCTCGCGTGGAAGTCATAGTTAGATCTCAGGCTTTGATCAGATTTGACATCTCATTTTAACGATGTAGATTTGAGATGCGATGAACGGCTTGTGGCATTTGAATTGGACGGTCGAGATCATGTGAGGCTCCTTATAAAAGCCCTTGGTGTCGGCGTTGGAGAGTTTTTACTTTTGAAAACTCAAAGAGATCCATTGCTTTCAAAATTTCTTGCAATTTCTGGCGAGTATCCCATAATCTTCAGGTGTTTTCAACGACATTTGTGTCTTCCAGCAACTTTTAGAGGGCTTTTTGAGCTTTGTGGCAGTAGGGCATTACCTTCTTCCCAGTTTCGTAAGTATTTTCCATAGTTTCGTACCTCTCTTCTGAAAAGATGTCTTCTGAAGGTAGTGGATCTTCTAGGGAGGATCTGGAGATAGTGAGGATAGATTACCCAATTCTAGCAACCTCTGCTGAACTCCCTGAGGCAATATTAGGGAGAAGAACATGTGGAGGCGTCTTGACAGCCCTGTGGATACTTCAATCCATTGGGGGGCATCTGACTACCCTTCGAAACTCAAGTCTGCCGACCTCGATAGATTTAGGAAAGAGTATAGAATCCCAGATAGTGTGGGTCTGATTTTATTGGAGTCGGATGAGCGGGCCTGCTACCCTAAGCCGGGATGTGTGGCTATTAGTAAGACCATCCTCAGAGCGAAGAGTGCATAATCGCATAGATAAGCTCAGGGCTTAGGTTACCCATCCACCCTTTCTTTAGGTATGTTCTGAGGTCATATGGCCTAGCTCCAACCCAGTTAAACCCAAACTCTTGGAGCCAAATGGTAGGGTCATGGATGTTATGGAAAGAGGCGTCTTATAGGTTGGAGATGCCCTTCTCCGTCTTCCAAACCTGGTACATTCCCAAGGTCGCAGCAGGGGTGATAAGACAAAGAGATGGTATTACTTAACCTCTTGGGGGGGCCATACTCCATTCGTAGTGGACCTGCCGAGCTCGATAAAAGGACTGGAAGACTTCATGGTACTGGGCTTCCGAACGGTGGAATAAGATGAAGAAAGACCCCCTGACGCCCCTTACAGTCCCAACTAAGTATTCAACATTTAGTGAGTACTAAAACTCTGTATTTAAATCTTTATTTAGTTCAGATTGGCTGCTAACCGTCGTGTTTATGCAAATACTCTTCCTTGGTGCAAGTTATCCATCGAAGACTTCGACACCATTTGCATTGTTTATCAGCTCTCACCGAAAAGAAGGTCATATAACGAGCTTATTAGAAAGCACATTCATTTTGTGATACACGAACTGATGGCCTCCCAATGTGAGTAGCTGGGGTGAATACTTTTATAGTTGATTTCCGAACTCAATATACTTCGGTTTTGATTCTCTCATTCCTTGTTGCAGACGATTTCAACAAGAAGAGGCGAGACTTCAAAACCATCCAAAAGATGATGGCCGAGGTAAGGGCCTTGAAGACCTTCTCCACTGCCTACAAGAAGTAGACGGAGTATTTTATGACAGCAAGTAAGAAGCTCCAGCCACCAACAGAGGAGAAGGATCTAGAGGCATCCCTTCTAAGGAAGGGGAAAGGGTTGTTGGGCTGTCGACGGGGCCCACTGTGGTGATGAGTGGCCTAGCTCTCTGGCAGACTACCATTTCCATCGGAGTGGCGATAAGGAAGAAGGCCGCTCCTTTCTCCAAGGCTGCTATGGCTGCTGTCCCGGCTAGTGCACCACTTTCTGCTCTCCCAACCACAGCAAGAACTGGACAGAGGCATGGAGGGACCACACGATCTCATGTACCGTCGAAGACCTCGTAGCAGTGAACAGTGCCTGCATTGTTCGAGCTCTCAACACTAGCATCTAGCTGGAGGGTCTTGTGTGAAAGACCTCCGAGCTAAAAAGGATGATCTGGCGAAGCGACTGGAGGAGGCTGTACATTATGTAGATGTAGTGTAGGCTGCTGAGGCTAAGGCTGCGAAGGCAAAGAAGAAGAAGTTGGAGGCGGAGGGCCAACAGAGGAGGGTCAATGCTGAAGTAGAAAGGCTGAAAAAGGAGCTGTATGAGGTGGAGTATCAAGTGGCTGCTTTGATGAGGAGAGTTGATCACACCAACGAGCATAACCGTTTGACCATTGAAGCTTTGGAGGCTTCAAATAAAGAAAAGGCCAAGCTGAGGCAGTGAGCAGAGGCCTAGGCTAAAGAGATCGATTCTCTGAAGGCTGAGGTGAAAGCAGTGGGGGAGTCAGCAGTGCAGAACTTCATCGATCACTTCGAGTAGCATCCCCTGTATGACGACTATGTCAACTTCTTGGCCTTTTAGAATGCTTAAACTATGATGAATCGCCTAAGGGTGGTCCACCCAACTTTGGATTGACTGCCCTGGAAATAGAGTTTGATGGACCTACTGGGGGTCAACCAGATAGAGCTGTCGAAGAAGCTGCTGAGGCTCC